GGCTGGAATTGGATCTTCAAGGACAGGAGTTGCATGCTGCAACACTTGTGCACAGTGCCAAAGAACAGTTACATACTCTTCTTCATTCTTTTGTGACTATAAATATATTGTCTCAGTATTCTTCTAATACTCCAGTATTGTATTAAATTACAAACAGATGTTCCTGTTTTGCAACTACAGTTCTACTGCACTTTTTTTATGTGGCTGTTCTTACACTTGCATTGTGTATGATGATGCCTGGAAGAAGGGAGAGGCTGGGATATTATCATAGAATACTTTGGGTTGGAAGGGACCTTCAAAGGTCATCTAGTCCAAACCCCCTGCAATGAGCAGGGACATCTTCAACTGAATCAGAACTGCATCCAGCCTGGCCTTGAATGTCTCCAGGTATGTCTACCACCTCTCTGGGCAGCCTGGTCCAGTACTTTACCATCCTCACTGTAAAAAATTTCTTCCTCACGTCCAGCCTAAATCTCCCCCCTTTTAGTTTAAAACCATTACCCCTTGTCCTATTGCAACAGGCCCTGCTGAAAATTCTCTACCCATCTTTAATACAAGCCCCTTTCAAGAACTGAAAGTCTGCAATGAGGTCTACCTGGAGTCTTCTCTAGGCTGAACAACCCCAACTGTCTTAGCCTTTCCTCATAGGAGAGGTGTTCCATCCCTCTGATAATTTTTGTAGCCCTCCTACAAAAAGGGTTGGAACCCTCTCCAACACGTCCATATCTTTCCTGTACTGAGGACTCCAGAGCTGGACGCAGTACTGCAGGGGTTGGTCTAACCACAGCAGAATAAATGGGGAGAATAACCTCCCTTGACCTGCTGGCCATGGTCCTTTGGATGCAGCCCAAAATCCAATAGGCCTTCTGGGTTGTGAGCTCATGTTGCCAGCTCATGTCCAATCTTTCAGCCACCAGTATCCCCAAATCCTTCTCTGGATTAATCTCAATCCCTTCATCCCTGCCATGGTTTAAACCCAGGCGTAACTCAGAACCACTCAGACGTTCGTTCACTCCCCCCATTCCTCCCCTCTGCTGCCAGAGGGGTGGGGAGGAGAATCAAAAGAATGTAACTCCCACGGGTTGAGATAAGAGCAGTCCAGTAACTAAGGTATAATGCAGACCACTGCCGCTACCACCAGTAATAATGATAAGGGAAATAACAAGGGAAGAGAATACAACCGCTCACCACCTGATGACTGATACCCAGCCAGACTGAGCAGTGATTTAACCCTTCTGGGTAACTGCCCCCAGTTTATACAGTGGGTATCTTGTGCTGTGGTATGGAATACCTCTTTGGTTAGTTTGGGTCAGGTGTCCTGTCTCTGCTTCCTCCTGGCTTTCCCTCCTCCCTGGCAGAGCATGAGACTCACGAAGTCCTTGGTCAGAGTAAACATTACTGAGCAGCAACTAAAAACATCGGTGTTATCAGCACTGTTCCCAGGCTGAAAGTCAAAACCACAGCACTGCACCAGCTACTAAGAAGGAGAAAAATGACTGCTACTGCTGAACCCAGGGCAATCCCCCAGTCCCCAAATCTGACCCAGCTTTGGCCTTGTTGAACCTGATAAGGTTTGCATGGGCCTACTTCTCAAGCTTGTCCAAGTCCCTCTGGATGGTGTCTTTTGAACTACCTTTAATGCAATTCCTCTGGAAAACAAAGAAAGCACAAGTAGGGAGTGCAACATCTTCAACTATAGTGTTTATCAGATTTTGAGTCCTTTAAAATCCCTCTCTTTTTGGACTTGGCATTGCTATTCTTTCTTAAACAGAAGTTTAGTCTCCTGTTAAAAAGGAATGCATACTAAACCCGTTGATGCCTTTCTTCCTATGAAAAAAAGTTAAGCTATTAAAGTTCAGCTGTTTTTTCGTTTCTGAAACATGGTTGTGTCTTGTGATTCTGCTTTGAATTGCTTCTCTGTATGTATTTGATTCCAATATAACACTGACAGCTGAAACAAAAAAAAAAAAAAAAAAGAGGCAGACTACCTCAGAACACCCTGTTGGTTCCTTTTCCTTTTTTATTTCTTTAAGCCTAAGAAAAAGCAGCTGCCAATATGTTCAACGGCTGGCAAGTAAAGCACTGTCAGTACAGCTGACTTGCTGCGAAATATTAGTAAACAAGCAGTTACATGAACAGTAGCCAACTTTAACAAGATCTCCACTTATTATCCTGTCATTCTTTTTTGTGGAAGAATATGCCATTGCTGTCACATCCATCTGTTCGATTGCACAGCCTGTGCATAGAAATCACCTAGACTTACACATGGGGAAAGATTGTGGAGAAACCTGAAACCAGGAATGCAAGATGAATAGAAGATCTGTGAATAAATAGTTAGAACTCAATTTAGATAAATGACTGTGTAGCTGAGAGCAGCCAGGTTTTGTTATGTTGTGTGCAGTGGTGAAAAATCTGGCTATCTGGCCCAATGCAAACATGGTTTGTTGTAGTCTGTGTAGCTCAAATGATATCCACAGCTTGGTTCATCACAAAATGATACAGAAAGGAGGTGGAAGAGAGACATTGCTGGGGAAAGCCACAGAAGAAAAGCATGTAAGAAGTTATCAGTTTAAACTTTTTCTTTTTTCTTTCAAAAACAGATGAATTAACCTGATCACTTGCTGTGAAAATCACTGCTGGTGTAATTAGGATACCCTTCTTGGAAGCAGTGGTATGGAAAAATTAACAAATACTGGAGAAACTTCAAGGGATAAATACATAATCCTAATATTATCTTATTGTTTTTCCTATTCCATCTACGAGGTTGAACAAAAGTTGCAGAGCAAGAGGATAGTTGTTTGAATGGTCTCTTCTTCTTTTAGAGCACAAGTCTTACGAGGAGCAGCTGAGGGAAATCCAAAGTGGGTATGACATTTCAGTCATTGTCAATCAATAAATAAATAATGGTTGGACTAATTCTAAAACTATTTCAGTAAAAAATGAATGCTATTGCTGCTCTCCTCCACAGTGGTGAATCTGTCTCCTAATGCTGTCAAACCTGTCTTCTTGCTGCTTTGGTGCAAATTCAGAGGCCTTGCTGAAAGGACTGACAGTGGAATAGGATGAAGTGACTGCAGAAGCATGGCAGAATGTTAACAGAAACTGAAGTTTTAACCTGGCTCTCTGGTTTACACTAACACCTTTATGGAACTGGGCAGAACAACTAAATAGCTGCCAAACTATTCATTAAAGTTTAATAAATTGCTTGCTTAAATATTTAGATCCAGCTTTGTGACTTTTGCACAGCAAATTTATGTCAACTGTCTAATATCTTTGCTGTAGACATGTGGCAGGGCCTATCACATATTTGCAGGGCACACTTCTGTCAGCAATTGTACTGTCATTCTGGTGATTTTTGCAGTTTGGAATTTTTACTTGCCTGTCAGTAAATATCTGAGTAGTACTCTTAGCTACTCTAAAATGAAATGGATCCTTTAATTTCCATGGGACTGGTTCAGACCTCAATGTATTTAAGAGATCTATTTGGAGATACTTAGGGGTGTCAGGTTTGGAAGTTCTAGTGAAGTCAAATATACTCTGATGTCAGAATTTCTCCTGTCATTTATTTCATGCATGGTTGTTTTGTGTTTTTTTTTGACACTGGTCTGTCCACATGGCCTCTCCATGTATCAGCTCTGGTGTATGTCACTGCACAGCTGAATTTATTATGTTGTTAATACATCTGTTCAGCAGCAGGGATAGTGGTCTTAATTAGGAAAACAAAAATGATCTGCCAGAGCATTCAGCTAACATCTTTAAAAGCTAGAGACCAAATGTGTACTGTGCTTGGTGGTACATGTGAAGCTTCTGGTGTCAATTCCACCTGCAACCTGGGTGAAGAACTTCTCTCTTCCTTGTCTTCACAGCCTGGGATGCAGGCAGAAAAAAACAAGAGGGGTTGAACACATGATAGTAGAGATGAGCTTTGTGTCAAACTGAGCATGCATGGTCAGTCCTTCCAACGATAGGTCTCTTTCTGTCCAGGCTTCATCACAGTTCTTGCTGTTCTGGGACAGTGGAGAGAACAAGCGGTTGTAGGATATGGCTGGTGTGTCTCTGAAAGGAATGGGGATTTGGGGTTTTGGTGGCTTTTTTTTTTTTTGTGGTTTGGTTTTGAGGTGGTGGTGGTGGTGGTGTTTATTGTTTTTTTGGTTGGTTTGGGGGGTTTTTTTTTGAGGTCTTTTTTTTTGGTTGGTTGGGGTTTTGTTGTCTGTGTCAGAAACTTTCATAGAATCACAGAATGGTTTGGGTTGGAAGGGACCTTGAAGATCATCCAGTTCCAGCTCCCCTGCCACAGGCAGGGACACCTTCCACTACATCAGGTTGCTGGCCTTGAACAGTTGGCTTTGCTGGCCGTCCACCCTGGCCTTGAATACTGCTAGAGATGGGGCAGCCACAGCTGCTCTGGGCAACCTGTGCCAGTGCCTCATAGTGACAAATTTCTTCCTAATATCTGATCTAAATCTACCCTCTTTCACCTTAAAACTATTGTCCCTTTTACTCTCACTACATGCTCCCTTGTTCTTTGCCCTTTGCAAAATTTAATCTGGAGTAAGCTACTGGGTGGCTTTTGCTTTCCGTGGCATCTATTTTGCCTCCTGTTTGATCAGCCTAATTAACAGATCACAGCCTCCAGTCCTGGTTTAGACAGAGGGCTTTATTTGGAACTTCAAAATTGGTCCTTCAGCTTAAGTTACTTTTTGCCCTTCAGCAAGTGTGAATTGTCTAGGCTTTTCCCTTCACCCAAGCACAGAAGCAGTGTGCAGGCTGTCCAGGTTTGGGGGTGCCTGGGGTGGTGTTGGTGGCTGATACAGGCAGGACCCAGCTTCCAGGCTGTTGATTTGAGCCAGTTCAGCAGGGAGCACAGAGATGGCAGCAGTGCTCAGGCAGGATTCCTGTGGGCCTGTTGCTAACGATGTTAGGGTAGGTGTGAGGTTGAAGCTGTCAGCTTTGTGATTTAAAGCAGCTAAAGGAAGTGAACCATGTCTGTTAAAACCTAGTAAGATCAGCACATGCATGGGAGTGTAATCTGCATCCGGATCTGCAGCAGAATGTGTCGAATCCCAGCTCTGCCCAGAGCAAAGCAGAGAGTGTCCAGCACCCCCTAATCCAGAGAGGGATGGAGTCAGCTCACAGAAGCGGAATCACGCTCCAGTGGGCTGTCACACTGCAAGTTTCTGAGCATTTTTACTTTGTCATTCTGGATGGGAACGTTTAAGGTAACGATCATTATTTTTCTACTTTTTTGTAACTATGGAGACCAGAAACTTCATAGAGCAAAGCAAAGAAGAGGCTGTCTAGGTGCAGCTGGAACTAGCTCAGACATTTGTCTCTTTTGGCTCCTTGTCAAATCTTTTTTATTTCCTGGGAACTGGAAAAAAGAATGAGAGTGGCATATGCAGAATATTATACTTTAGATTAAAATTCAGTGAATAAACATGAATGAATCTGCATTTGAAAACAAAGGCTAACTTTCAAAAGCCCCTCTCCCACAGCAGCTCTGCTCTGAATATGAAAGGTATGTGCCAATAAAATCAGCAGGTATGGCAGCTCTCTTGTCAGACAGGCACCCACATCTTTTTCAAAGGCAGAAGGACCTTTGTATCTGGAAATGACAGTAACTAAGGAGGAGGAAAATGTTTTGTGTTATATATATTTGAATCTGTGAACTGTTGGATAGGGATAGAAACAAACACAAAGATATAACAACACAAAGATGAAATAGTATAGTAAGGGATAGTTCAGGAACACTACTTACTTATATTCTGTGTAACTCCTTACACTGTTACATACTCTTATTTGTATCTAAGACATACATGAGACTTTTATTCTGTAAGTATTCCAGCTAGAATTCTCTTTCCCTTGCAGTTTGACCTGTGAACAAGACCTTTCTGATTTTATCTGTGTGCAATGAGACACTGTATTTTGTGCAGGGAGCCTAGACAAAAGACTGCAAAAGCTGGCTTGTACTGATTGCGTTATGCCCCATAACACAAGTATGAAGAATCACTGCAGGGAACGGATCCCATGTCTAACTGTTAACAGCATTAATAGGTTTTAGGTGTCTCCTAAAGCAGTGAAACTAACTGATATGCCTATAAGAACGTAACTGTCAGCTCCCATATACAGTTTTGGGATATATTGTTTGGTGGAAGATAGTCCCATAATTTAAGATCTGTATTTAGTTTAAGATCTATGTTGTTATGATGATGGTTTTCCCAAAAGATAAAAAATTAGAGAAGCATCAATATGCTGACTGATTTCAATGACTAACATAGCTTAGAGACTCCTTGATATATGTAAAAATTGGCAGTGGAGAGTCAAAGAGGCTTTTTGTAGTTCTCATGTGTCCTTCAATGAACTTGGAATAAACTGTTTTCAGCAAATTGGTTATGCTAGAAAAATAATATAGGGATGATTAATAGGCCAGGAAGTAGCTGAACAGTGTACTACCATAAGACAAACTTAATCTGTCCAAACAGCCCACTACCACAGTCCACATGCGGCATTGACATCATTTAGCAAGAGAAGGATAAGAGTGAAAACTAATGGATTTAGTGGGGAGGACTTTTTCTTGAGGACTGGCCTTGAGTTGGCAGGGGAAATTAGCAGCCTGTCTTTCTGCATGCTTCTTGGTTCAAAGGAGATGTTAATGGAGAGTGAAAAGGCAACTGTATTCCTCAAATTGCTGGAAGGAAGCCTGTTTCGCCACAGAGATCTCTTTTCTTTATTTAATGAACTTTGAGAACCGTACATCCGCCTGACAGTTAAGACTTCAATGTTCTGCCTGGAAATGAGGTCCTTACCAGCAAGCCTGCTGCATGTAAGATCTTGCCTTGCATCCCTTCTTTGCCCGTGTGCTCCTTCTTCATCTGAAACTGTCTTTTCATGACATGATCTGAGCTGAAGCTCTTCCACTTGATGGGGAGGACAGGAGCTACCAGGCTGCTGGTGCCCTCCCCTTCCATTTCTGTGCAGAACCAGCCCTAATTTGTCATAGGAAACACATATGGATGTTGAAAAGTAACAAAAGAACTGATAAAATATGCACCAAATATAAATTCATGAGCAAGGTAATGCAACAGGATCATTCTAGCACAACTGTTATTTTCTACTTGGCCTTTTTAATTTGAAAAATTCAGAGCAGTTTTAGAGTTTTGACATGTAATAAGATCCTGACCTGTTTTCCACAAAATTGCAATTGTAGAGCTTAATAATATATTGCCATCTGGAACTGAGTCAAAGTAAATCCACATACATTACATAACTTGAATTGACTTACAAAAGGAGAAGGGGATATAATATCTTAAGCCTTTTAAATAAGGGATAAGTGCAATACTGGGAATTTGTTAATATTATTTCATGCTAAATTTTAAAATGCGTTCCCAGGTGCAGTATTTAAAGACGGGATTGTTTATTTGATGGGATCATTTGCTTTACAGTGTCTGGGAGTTGCAACTGGTAGCAGTGCCAATAGGCTGTTATCCTGGGGTTGGATATTACTGTGTTCAGATGCTGTTGTGATGACTTTGGTAGATATACCCAGATGAATAGGGGGAGAGCTCTTCTTCCTCCCAGAAATGGAAGCAAATGAATGATTTGCTGGAGTGAATAGAAATAGTAATGGTTTAAACATGCTGGTCATGAAAGTTAGTCAAGAACTCCAAAAATAGCTCCTTCTATCAGTGTCATTTACTAGCCTGCAGAAAATTGTCCAAGCTTGTTTATTTTAATAGGAGAAAGTTAATTTACTGGCATTTTAAAGCATGCTGTCTACTTTGTGGAGGCTAGAGGGTACTATATAGGTTGCCAGTGCAGTTCCAGGGCTCAGTTTCTCAGGTACTCTACAGAAAGTTACCATTTGGCTCAGAGGTGATCACACAATTTATTCTGTGATCTCAGTGCAGTGTAAGCCTCAATTGATGCCTCCCTAAATTGTTTTTCACTCTCTGTGCAATGAGGCTGGCCTGTCTTGCAAATGTATAGGTACATAAATCACATCTTATACCGACATTTCAACAGCACGTTAAGAGGAACTGGGCTTTACTGGAGCACTGTGGAGTTGCTTGCAAGCAGCAGTGTCACACACGCTGTCACAGGATGGACAGGATTATTGGATGGGCTGTGCCATGCCATCACGGTATTGCAACCACTCCAGCTACTGAGCCCCAGGTGCCAGCACAGCCGGCATGACATTTTCTAAGTATTTTTAGGTGTCTCAGTTGTGAAGGTTTTCTTATGTCATCTCTCCAATTTCAGAGTCCAGGGAATAACATAGAAAGACCAAAACTTTGACCTTGGTGACTTGCATATGCATATATATATATATATATATATATTACATATACCTAACTTCGTGTTCTTGGAGTATTACTCTAAAGCGACTGGGGTGAAAGGTAGCATTACTGGCATGTGGAATGAAGTTCAGGGATTTTGCAGCAACAAGTACAATACAGAAGTTAAATTAAAAATAGATCAACTAAAAATATACTGTACATCAACAAGTCTTGTGTGCGAGCCTGAAACCTGACACATTGTCAGTCATTAGCAACACCCCCCCCCCCCCATCAATCAAGAGGCCTCTTACCACAGTGTCCCTGACAATGACTCAGAGGAATAGTGCTTCTCACCTGTTGCAGCCATAAATGCAGTCCAACCAAATAGTGACTGTGAATTGTTTCCATGTGATGAAGTGTGGCCGGTTTGAGATGAGCTGGTGTCACAAAAGCACTCTATAGTTGGCATGTAGATGGTTGTCAGGCACAGGACAAAGGGCAAAGAATAGGCGTTTAAGGCTATTTTACTCTATTTTAAGCAGGGATTTTTTTATGCTGTTTTTGTCATATACATTGCCACATTTGAGGTCATGACATGATTTGGCTAAAATCTGAATGTTACAGTTTGTGCTGATCTTGTTCTTTTCTGTGGCATCAGCAGCACATGGGCTTTTTGGACAGAATTGTCCTTCACAAGTTGTGCTGCTGTAGAGTTGTGTTGGCAAGGACAAGAGGGTGACATCACACACGACAGTTCCTAGCTCCTGGAAGGAGTCGCAGAAGTGATGATCCAAAGATTAACTATGTGTGAAGGACACTGTTTTAATGGGAATTCTCTGGGATCACATTTAATTCAGCAGAGCTTATTTTAAAAGTATACAGAACCGTATTACCAAACCCTGCACTAAAGTGTAAACTCTTCCCACTCTACCAATGGACGTACAATGCGGTGTTATGGATGGGATGTGGCCACCGGTCTGCATCAGGTGCTGGAGGACCTGGCACCATAAGGTTCATAATCAACAGCTCAAGGCAAAGGAGCAGCAGAAAGAGTGATCAAGGAGATGATCAGTACATTATAGATTGTTAATTTAATAACTTTACACAATTAAGAAATATATGCTAATATATCAATACAGAAAATAAAACCCACACAATACTGAATAGTAATTGTCTCAGTTGAATCTCACATAATACAAACAATTTAAAATAAGTGTAGTTACCTAGCTACTAATTTAATTAGCATTCATTTAGAAGAAAACATCCTTTGGCATTTGACAGCATTTAAACTTTATGTGGCTGTTCAGAAATAGCTGCCAAGAAAAAAAAACCGAGTCCACTTAGGGAATACCTGAAAAATTAAAAAATATTTTGAAATTAAACTGTTTCCTCTATTTCCTTCCCTTGTGTGTGTTCATATCAAAATCAGCATTGGGATTTTGGAATTCTCATTTTGCATGAATAACATTTCAGATTATAATATTTGTATTCACGGAATCTACTTGGTTCTACTTGATCAGCAGCATCAGTTTCTCTGGAGAGAAAAGTAAGGGAATTTATGTTTCTTTTGGGGTTTTAGTATGTTCTAAACTATTGCTGGTGGTTGGTGATGTTTGCAACTGTTCATGTAACACATGGAATATTTTTGCTTCAGTATGTTTGGTGATTCTGTAGCCTACACAGCTTGATGACTAGTTCAGAGCACGTGCTGAACTAGGAAAGGCATTGGTGCTCAGATAAAAATAATAACTCTGAGGTGCACTCAGAAAACATGAACTTGTTATCTACCAAAAATATAATCTAGTATAGATTGTTACACCCACAGAAGGATTGTTTTCTTCCAAACACTGAGGACAGCCCATATGCAATTTCTGCACAGATTTTGCTTTAAATGAAAACTTCAAGATAACTTATTAAAAGGCTACTTCTACAGATTATCCTTCTACAAAAACCATCAAAAGTATCTTGTTTTCCTTTTTGGCCTAGCTTTTGGACTTTTTCATGTGCCCTTTTACTTACAGCATGATTTTAAAGCACTTACACAAACGATAACATGTTCTTTATGAGGTTTAAAGACAGCTCATTTCAGTTCAGTATAAACGAAACAATAAACTGAATCTGAGGAAAGCCTTTTACTGAACTAGTCACTTCTGCATTTTGCAGCAACTACACTGGAGTAATGGAAGTGCACATAAGGGCTTGCAAATATGACCACTGGCCTTTTATATTTTGGATGAGGGTTTTATAAAAATACCTACCTTCACTGGGAAAGTAAAGCCAAATTACACTGCTTTTCCAGTCTGTGCCACTGCTACCACTTTCATTAGCATCATGAATATTTACTTGATTGTATATATATATAACAAGGTAGAATAACATTAAAAATTTCAAAAGTAGATTTTTTATTTTCATGGTAGAAGTATATTTAGATCTATTTCCCTCACCAAATGTTTAGTCTTCTGCAGGATCTTGCTGCCCCTTGGGCTGAGATGCAGGCCTGCAGAACCAAATGTGGCAAATTTTTTGCTTGTGACATCCTTTTTCATTAGGGGTGCATTGCAAAATGTGTTGATTCTTTGAGGAAAGACAGGTGAGTTCTGTCATTTATTCTTTGCTCCATACTAATGAGGGATGTGTTAAGTGAAGTGGCTTAACAGGAGCATACATCATGGAAACATTTCCGGAGCCAGAGCTATTGCAGAAAGAATTGTCTTTGAAACTTTGATTAAATTGGGATTTTTTTCTCACCTCATGATTATTTCAGATCATTTTATGATGTCTGCGACTATGATATATCACTGAGAGTATGGAAAAGGAACCATTCCTCGAGTGTTTAAGAAACAAAACGTTGCTGCAAGTGTGTATCTGTGTGTATAGGTCAGCAACAGAGCAAGGAAGAACTGGCTCTTTATTTCCCTTTTGTAGTCTCTGTATCTTGAGCAGTTTGTTTCAAAAATCCAGGAAAAACAATACTTTTCCTATATAAATAATACTTCTATAATTAATGGTATTACTAAATTTTGTGTGCTTTTGGTTGTTTTGTTGTTTGGTTGTGTTTTTTTTTTAATAATTCTGACCTATTTCCCCCAAACTCCCTGTACGCCTGAAACAAAGCACTGGCCTGGCTGCCCAGGACTGCAGGAAGGGGTTGCCATCTGCTGGCAACCACGCAGCACGGAGCAAGAGTGAGTGAGCAGGTTCATGCAGGGGAGAGATTTTGGTGAGTGGGACCTAACCTCTCAAGTCCTGCAGAAGCTGGATGCCGACAGGTCAGTCTAACCTGAGCAGTAACAAATCTCGAATTTTGTGTACTGTGCACAAAGTGAGGTGAGATGATGTATGGCTTTTGCTTAGGAAACAGCCTGAACCTGTTGCAGTGGCCAGATTTAACTAGTGCATACAATCTGTGACTGCTCTGGAAAACAGGGAGCTAATTAGGCAGTGTGGATTTGTGATTCAATAACAGAAGTAGCTTCTGAAAGCAAAACCCAGCAAATTCTGGGAGCTCAGACTACAGCAAAATACGTTCTCCGTAAAGCACCTACTGGAATGAGAAAGGTAGGGGAGGGCTAAAATCAAACAAACACCAAAGTTTGTGTTTCTATCTGTAGATGTTGCTCCCAGTT